AAAGGCAACATTTAAAATATGCTTACTAGCCACACCACCAGGATCTAGTCTTTACTTGTTACCATAGACCTGGGAGTCTGAACAGACCTGCTTGAGGCAGGACCTGAAGTAACTGCCTCTAAAGCTCTGAAACACTTCTGAATTATTTTGGAGCCGCTTATAGAAACATTACTAAAACATAAATGATTCATCCTGATTATCTGGTTTTCATTATCACTGAATTTCAGTTCAATTGAATCTTAGGAGTCGCCACCCGCTGGTCATTAGAAAGAATGTCCATTTTACGGTTTGACTGCACTGGATGGACCTAGAAAACTTCTGTCGACTGACTTGATCACGAACTTACGGTTTAAGATCCTGGGCTGTTGTTAAACTGTGTCAGACATTGGTAACTAAATGCACCGCTAAGCAAAAGGGAAAAAATAACCTAAGGTTACAAATCCTGTGTCACCACTCAGATACACTTCCTCTATCATGTGGTCATTTCAAAAGACCAACTGAGACTCACATTTTTAGTTAATACCGGATTCGATTTTCATTTCAACAAAACAAACAAACTTTCTTCACATCCTAACTACAGCCTAAAAATCTAATGTGTGTTCTTGTGGCTGTGGAAGCTCGCAGTGATTTAGAGGCTGACACAGGTCTGCAAACACAAGCGGGTCTGCTGATTTTCTGCCATCCAGAGAATTTTTCAGTCGTTCAGTCTGGGACAAATAAGTGTGTGTTAATGCAGCAGAGCCACACTGCAGTGTAGACACTTAATTAACAGCGAGAACATCAGGACAGAGGAGATAAAAACGTTTTAACAACACATAAACACGAGGAATCGAAGCCCGGCTCACACGTGCTTATCCGTTTTTCCTTTTATCATGAGGGTAATTTGAAAAACAAACAAACAAATGAACTCACAGAAATTATTTCCAAAACTTCAACAAACCAAAAGTTACTTAATTGTTTGGAGATTTTCAAAATAAGAGTTTTAGCTATGCGTAAAAGTTGTCGTTCAGAACCCTTATTAGGGCAAATATCTCCAGCTGGGTTCATTAATGCTAGCTTTTTAGTGGTGGGTGATAATCACCAGTTACCTTGATTTTCTCTCCATCGATTTCAAGCACTCTTTCGCGGAAGTCCACGCCGATGGTAGCCTCCGATCTGCAGGGAAACTCCCCGGCGCACAGTCGGTGGGTGAGGCAGGTTTTACCCACCCCGGAGTCTCCAATCACAAGCACCTTAAATGTTCGACAGCGGGTTAGCAGTGAGGAAACACTACCCAAAGAATTGGAAAACTCGAGAGACGAATCCATGTAGCCAGAGTCCTTCAAGGTAATAACAAAGCGCAAAAAATGCGCACTTGGCTTCAAACGGCGTCTCCAAAGATGCAGCCTCCCCTGACCAAAACTTCTGCAAACACAAAATCTTCTGCTGGTTTCGAAAACTTTTCCAGCAACTCCGTGCAGACTATTCACAGTGCTGCCCAGCGTGGGTGTGAGGAGGAGGACCCGGCGTTTCACTGTGGTGATGAGGGTGGAGAATCCAGGGTCTCAGCTTCCTGGCACATTAACGTGATTGGCTGATTTTAGTTCCTTTCCCTTTTAAGTGTTTTTAATTCACAACAGCGCGGGACATGGTGGTACCTTCTCCTAGAAATAACAGGTCATCCTTTTTTGGGGGGGGGTCAGAACATAAAGACGCGCACGTTCACTGCAGCTGACCTCTTCAACACGATGTTGCCCCCTCCTGGTGGGGGCGCCAAGTGACTCCGCATCCTGCTTCCCACTCATATATCAAGTTTGGTGGTTCCCTTTAATGCTCTGTTTCTTCTTTTCTGCTTAATTATACTTTATATTGTACATGATGATTTGGTCAGCATGAACCGTGGTGCCACCTGAGTGCAGAGATGAAGCCTCACTCTGTGACAGGAGACGGCTACATTTTAAAAACTACTAGAGTTTATAGGAATTTTAGGATAGCAGAGGAAAAACAAACACTGGTTAGTGAGAATCACAGGTTTCCTGGTTGTAACTGACAAGGGCACAGACATTAAAACTTTATTAAAATCACAGCTTTAAGTTAAATTGGTGCTTTGGAAGTTTTCAGTGCCAACATGATGGATTAGAGAGGTCTACTTTTGTGTTTGGGGAAAAAAAGGTGTTTTCAAAGGACTTTTTCTGGTAGCATCCACACCAGGTTTTCACTCATAAATAACCAAAAACTGCATGCTTAGATTAACAATCAAACATGATTAAAAAAAAAATAAAAATACTGATTTTTTTTCCTCCCCTAAAATAAGGTTTTCAGCTCTTAGTAACCAGATATACTTTTACCATCATCTTTATTGTTACGGTAGGAGCACTGCCATCGCACACCAAGAGGATCTCAGGTTCAGGTTTTCAATGTTCTCTGTGTGCTCATGAAGGATATTAGGCTATTTGGTGATTTTAAATTAACGTTCTCTCTGTACTGGCCTGCGCCACCTGCCCTCTGACAGTTGGAGTGGGTTCCACTGACCCTGAACTTCACAAGCGGTTTCAAAATAAAACATTTTAGACTACCCAAGCAAGGGAAGTCACCAGCGTGGCTATAAAATGATTTATCCCGTTTTGTTAGGCAGGATTTGCTGAACATAAGTGAATGCACAAATTTCTGTCAAATACAGGGGCAAAGCCTTTAAAGCACACAGTGTGATCATGCCTGTGAGAGCAGGGAAAGGCTCCGATATAAAGTACCAGGACCCAATTCTGGGATTTTCCCTACAACACGTAAGCACTGATCAGCACAGAGAGGAAGTATAAAAGTCTGTTATCTGACAGAAGTCTGTGCGTTGTTCTGTTATTTTTGGCCATTTGATAAAGAAGTACTTTAAACTCAGTAACTTAAAACCAGCTTTTAAAAAATAAGAACTGGTCAAACAGTTTTTTTTAAACCACAGTCCTGGTGAATTTCATTTGGTACGAGGCCAAACCTGGTTGGTTAAAGTGCAGGAAAAACCCCGCACCTTCCTACTTCGTGACAGGTACGAAATCACCTTTGTTACCACTGAACTGTCTCTAAATAAAGAGGTAGTGCTGACACAAAAGGGAAACCCCTGGTGTCGGATAATCAAGCCAACACAGCAGTAACAACAACTGCAGTTTTTCTAAAGGCCACATGAGTCCACACAGACTTCTTCACGGTTGAGTTTGTGCTTGAATTTTCTGTGAATGAAATGTTTATATTGTATTCGTCCATTATTCTGTCTAAGGTAGAGACTGAGATGCCCTGTCCTTTCTCATAAAGGCTGCTGCATTAAGATCACCGACGGGAAACTCTTCCTACTCCGATTTGAAATGTTCCCACTCGTCTTTTTTTATTATTATTGGGATTTTTAACACTTGACACTATGAAGCACCATTTGAAAAATCGTGAAAGCCATTTCATTTTATTTTATTGGTGAAACAGTCCTCCTGAAAATAATCACACAGAACAAAATTTTTTGCAGGCGTGTGGATTTTCCTCCAGCTCACACAAAACAGGTGCTGCACATTCTTGACGTTTGGTTACTAAGCCCGCGTCGGTGTCAGAGGGCTTCGTAACCCACTTCCACTCAAGGTTAGTTTGTTTGAAACAGCAGGTAAAACCTGGTCCTCGCGAAAGCTTTACCTAACCCCTGCAAAGAAAACACGGGCAGCTCAGGGAGGCTAACAAGCATTTTTTTTCCTGTTGGTTTTAATACAAAAATCCAGAGATATCATACATCACCATCTCAGATTTCATCTTTCACATTAGAACCAAAATCAGAGGAAGAAGGGGAAGAAAAACAAGATGTGGGGGTGGTACAGAAGAAGTAAAACAGCTTCCAGATGTTTGTACGTTTACTCGCCTTTGTTCGTGTCTTATCATTTTGGCAAAGGGGGGAGGGCAGTGGATGTTGACTTCAGACTTTCAAAGTTAGCAGAGAAGAAGATCCCTCTGAAAGCACTACAGGCTCATAAACGCCTTCACCGAAAGAGTCTCTGTACATCATGCAGATAAAACCATTTCTAAAGAGCAACAACACAAGTGACTCTGCCTCGTCTGGAAAGCACCCGGGGCCAAACTCCTGTTACTAAATGTGCTGCATAAATAAAAGTGACCGCCCAGAGGCTCCGTGTAACCGCTTCAACCAGATCCTGAAATGATTATCATCGGTAAGAGTGTCTGTGGTATTGCTTAGGTCTATCCATCTCTCTCAGAGCTATATAGAAAAGTTAAGAGTAGCTGTGTAGTTGAAACAGAACGCATCACACAATCTTTACAGTTTTTATTCTGTGCTACGAGGTGCTCCACGAGGACAGAGGGTTACGTGTTCCCATGTTGGACCTGGAACTGCGAGGGAAGCACTTTTTTAGGGGGGGAAGCTGTTCGACGTGCGAGGCGGCTTTCTCTGGCGTTTTACTTGAGTGAGCGTCACAGCAGATACAGAAACACCTGTGGTCGTCCTCAGTGTCCGTTTCAGGTAACTCTTCCCGCTCGGCTTCCTGCGGACATGTCAGAGATCCGCTCCGCTCAGTCCCCCCCATCCCCCGCCCCTCACCCACAGCCGTGTCCCATATTCATTTAGATTAGCTTTTATTTTAAAATAAGAGGAGCAGAGTATGCAACGTGTTGGGAGTCACGCCCGAGTGGTTGGCGTTATTGTTATTAATCAGAGGAAAACCAGCGCTCAGTTTCTCCCGATTCTTTATTTTCATGTTCAGCATTGCCAGCTCTGTTTTAAAAAAGTAAAATGGACACTTATCTTCTTCTTCCCCTCCCTCCTCCTTCTGTTTCCAACAAATACACAACCGCACACATGCACGCACACATGCACGCACACAAACACGCCCTCCACACACACACACACACACACACGCACGCACGCACACACAGAGTCCTGATTTTCACCCATGTGGGAGAGAGCCGAGCAGAGCCAGGTCAGAGCTGAGCTGAGCCTGAGGACGAAACACCCATTTTTCGCTTCCTGTGTCCGGCTCTACAAAAATGGCTGCCACAGGCGTACCACAAGGCTCCGTGCTCGGCCCAGTTCCTTTTCTCATCCGCTGCTGTACCGCCGTGCTCACATCTCGTTGGCTAGCTCCTCCGTTTCCGTGGAAACGTCTCCGTTGGCAATCTTGGTGTTCTCCTCGTATCCGGGGGGCATGAAAGCTAACGTGTAGGGATAAAGCTTGTGGCACTCGGCGCGGTACGACTCTGCGTGCTCCTTACAGTCGCCCAGGGCGCCGCTGCGAAGACAGTCGAGGACCTCCGTGCAGATCTGAAGACGAGAGGACGAAGGTTAAAAGAAGCTACGTTCAGGCAGGGAGGAGTGGACAGTTTATCACAGTCACAATCCCAACTCAAAAGGAACTGCTGTACTTCCTGATGTTATTGGTTACCACAGTTTTTGTCGCAACTTCTCGATTGCGGTCGGTCCTTTGACCAACTTTTTAGGAAAACCTGTCTGGCTGGTTTCACTTCACTGAAGAAACTCGTTTGTTCTGCTCCAGCCCTTTTTCAGGTTGATCCAAGAGAGATGGATACTCTCAGCATCTGAGCCATGAGGACCTGATAGACTAACTTTTATTCCACTTTTGATATTTCCACAACAGCAGAGACTCCAGTGTGTGTTTAGCATAAGAATAGTCGTAAATGTTTCTTTGCTTCCCTCCCGTCTTCTTACATGATGCCAATACGTACCTGTATGGTTCTGTTGTTCAGGGACTCATCCAGTGCACCGGCCAGTTCTGCTGCTTTCGTTTGCATCGAGGAGTCCAGATACACCATCATCTTCGCAGCTACGGGCGGGAGAGAGAAGGTGAGTCTGAGAGAAAGTGTGTTTTTAATAATTCTACATTTTAAGATCAATCCATCGCAGAAATGTTTCTGCAGCGTGAGGCTGGTCCACAAACCTTTAAAAGGCATGTTCCAGGGGTAAGTCTCTGTTTTGGGTTTCATGTTAGGACCGAGGTTGGAGTCGGGAGTTTAGTAAGGTGATTAATATTAAGGTAAGAGGCAAGGGCATGCATGATGTGAATCAGTGCCTTCACTAAGGAAGAACAGGTTGGCCATCGTCTGTGCTCATCTATCAGTCTTTAGGTGCAAAGTTTCCACAATGAGACCAACGAGCAAAAAGTACCAAAGTATTAGAAGTGAGGGTCAAAGAGACTTACCAGCCAGTCTGTGTGGTATGGAGCTGGAGTGCTTGGTGAGGTAGGCCTGGTTGAAGCTCTTAGCGTTGCTGTCTCCGAACAGCCGGGTGATCTCCTGCTTCAGCACAGTCCTGACCACCTCTGGAAGCTCCTTGCTCTCTGAAACTGCAAAGAGGGAACAGAGAAAAAGGATTATGTAAGGATGAGGTGGAGGCAGAGGAACGAAGAAGAGCAACAGCATAGAGAGGCAATTAAAACCAAGCGCTTAGGAGCATGTGCTGGTAGTTAAATAATGAATCCTCTCATACCTCCTTTAAAGAAGCGTACGAGACACTGGTGCAGCCACGGATGGTCGGGGTCGATTGCCAAAGCTCTCTTCACTGACTGGAGCATCAACAGGTATTTTTCTGAAAGGAGAACACAGTAAACGTGTGAGGCAGAAATGGGGACGAAGACGGTACTGGCGGAGTAAAAAACACATAACATGTGCGCGCCAACCTTTCCTGAAGTAGATCTCAAAGGCCAGTAGGTGGGTGTCAATCTTGTCTTTGACCAGGTGCTTGAGAGGCGTCAGGAACTTGATGGCTTCTTCCAGTGGATTTTCTACCTGTAAAAGCAAATGTGCAAAACAAAGTAAAACTCGAGTCCTAAAAACTGATAACCAGACCTTAATACTTCACGTATCGGCCACTGACCTTCACCAGCTTGTCAGGAATGAGCTCTTCTTTGGGCCCTCCGATCTCCTCGTCGTCATCCTCCTTCTTCTTTTTCTGGTTCTTGAGTTGCTTCTCCTTCTCCGCGTTCTTCTTCTCTTCCTCCAGCTGGGCCTTCTTCTGGGCTCTTCGCTGCTTGTTCCTCAGCTTTTTCAGCTCTTTGTCCGATAGGTTTGCTAGAGAAATGAAGACAAAAAGGACGGTCAGTGAAGCCCTTCCCTTGATAAGAGCCTCGTTGACTCAGAGCTGGATCTTCACTGTGCGTCTCTCACCAGTGTCCGCCTGCAGCTCTTTGCTGTCATCCGTCAGCGGATTGTCGTGGAGGCTCAGGTAGATCTGGATGGCCGTGATTGCGGCCTTGTAGTAGAACGGGTGCATCCGGAGCACATCCTCCAGCTTCAGCAGGTCCACATATGAGCGTAGCGTCATCTTCCTCATGCAGTAAGTGTGGAAATCAAACTGATCGTCCGTGATCTCCACAAAATGCTGATGAGATTAAAGAGTAAAAAAGGAACAATTTTAACACCCAGAAAGACTTTGTGGGCGGTTAGGGAGCGTGTACTTTCACACCGAGTTTAAAATCCCGTCTGAAAAGCCTCACCCTCTCGATCTCGTGGCACTTCTTCAGGGCTTCTCCAAACTTGTTCATGGCTTTGTAGGCGAGCGCGCACTCAGTCTGGAACCACATACATTGCATCTCGTTCAGGTTCTCCACTGCTGATGCTCCCTCCTGCAGAAACACGAGACATATACACATGAGCACTGGCAGTCTGACCACTACTGTATGTGTTCCATGGGGATCCATTCTTAACTGAATGCTATTGATGAGGTGAACTAAAAGTGTTGAACCTATAGTCTGCATTAAAACCCTCCATGAGTCTTATAAATGCTTACCAAAGATACTTTAAAGAGGGTTATCGAGTTAACTGGTCAAGAACATTAGAATAGCTAGAATCCTGCTAATGTAGGATTATTTTAAAGTCCACAATTCTGCGTGTGCTTGACTATGGAGATGTTTTTGTTTATGGCTCACCCTCCACTTTAAAACAATGTTGGGAAATAGGCCGCTGCGATTGATCACAGTCAATTACTTTGTCATGAATCACTAGAACTTGTACGAAAAGTGGGAATCTCTCTCTCCATCAGTCTATCAGAGGTCTAAAGATAGAAAGTACTCATTATGATGAGTACTGATTGTACTCATCATCATTTGCCAACATTTTGTTTTGACATTTTTAAAAGTCCTCATTGGTTGGTCAGCTGTCACTCCGCTCAATTTCTCTCACCCGGGTGAACTTGGAGCACATTTCCTCGGCCTCTTTGATCATGGTCGCCTTCAGCATGTACTTGGCACACTTGGAGTTGATGAATCTGTCAGCGGTGTCCAGAGCCTGGGCCTCATCCATCCACTGGGCAGCCTCTTTGATGTTGCCAGCATGCTGCAGGAGCGAAAAAGGTCAGTCGAGAACACCACCGCAGCAGAACTACGCGTCTACAAAAAAGTAAACAATTGTACAAATCAGACACGCGCGCCACCTTGTAAATCTTGGCTTTGATGAGGAAGAGCTCGATGAGCGTGGGCGTGCTCTCGATGGCCGTGTTGATATATTCTAGAGCCAGTGTCTGCTGGCTGATCATGTCATAGTGCTGTGCCAGGAAGTACTGCACCCAGAGCAACGTGGTTGGAGGCTCCTCCTTACCGTCATCTGGAACAGCAGACGCTCGTTAGGGTTGGAACCAAACGACTGCAACAGCTACACAAAAACTTACAGCTGGTTTAACTTCGTCTGGTTTGTTAGGATGCTGAAATGTTTCTCTCACCGTTCTGGTTGAACATTCGGCAGCTTTTTAATGAGGTTTCATAGCCGACCACCAGTTCCTCTATAATTGCCACCTAAAAGGAAAGGAGGACAAAGTAAATATGAAGCGTGACGCAAAGGGGATTTTCAGAATCATGCAGTTAATACAGTGACTTATTGTTCATAAATATTTCTTACAACGGTCGATGCTAATTTCATACGTTTTATACAGAGGATGAGCTGAAGGGCTTCACTGAGGCCCAGGATAAGATAATAAGGGATCATTTTTAACTCATGCAAAGCTATTCCAATTTTTTTTATTTTTTTATTTGAAATGTTGGAATGAGTTGGAATTGAGCCTCTTTAAGACTCTTTTGGTCCGAGGCTGTGACTGTGATTTAATTTTAGATCAGTCAGCAGGTGTGCCGTCACCTTTTCTTTGTCGTTGTACAGCGATTTGAGCGTGGTGAAGACGGGCGGGCAGCCTTTACTGAAGTTCATCCTCAGATACCTGTCCAGACACTCTCTGAACTTGTCACCTTCAGAGAAAAACAAAAAGACAAAGCAAAAGAAAATTAATCTTTACTCTGTAGTTTGATTGTTACTTTCATTGACTAATAATTTTGGTCAGTTTTCATTAACAAACTTTTTTTCCCTGATGGAAAAAGCCGATAACTAAATGAAAAATAACATACGAGGACAAAAGCTATGATGAAATGTACTTACACTTTCATCACTAAAAATGAGATGAAAATACGAAGCTTTGCAAACTATTTTGGAACAAAACAACCAACCTCTTTATATTTTAGTCACTGAATCAACTTCAGATTTAGTCTACGATAATCTTATGATACTTAGTCAACTAAATATAAACTAAAACTAAACTAATTACAGGCCTAAACTATGACTAGAGCTAAAGGGTGTTTTAGAAATATAAGTGAACACCGGCTTTATTCTGTTTGATTTAGCGGAGAAATGAGCTGCATACCAGAAAGGAAGTTGAGGGGTAGGCGGCGAGGCACCAGCCCTTTGGGAAATTTCTCCCAGGCTTCTTCAAAGATTTTGTATCTCTCCTCTACAGTACCTGAAAATAAAATAAATAAAAATCAAGAGGAATTCAGGATTTAGCTTCACCGCCGATTTGGATGTTTTGGAAGTCAGCGGTGACAAGACTCGTGTCATACTTGGTTTGAGTGCCTTCTCCAGGCCGTGATAATAGGACCAGTTCTCTGGGTTCCTCTCCAGCAGACGGCGGTAGACTTCTGTTGCTTCATCCAGACGCTCCAGCTTCAACAGTAACTCACCTACAGAAACATGAGCGCAAACACTGTTAAATTGAGATAACAAGCCAAGAAAAATCATGGCTGCCAGCAAAAAACAAAACAAAAAACCCAACAAACTTCTGCTCACAGGAGTGTCAGAGACAGAAAAATTAAATCAGCCTCAGAAAAGTTTTCTAGATGACTTATTGAAGCTTGTTTGCCTTTCTCTCCTGCAGCACCTGCATTTCTCTCCTGCAGCACCTGCATTATGCCAGATTACTGATGGCATCACTGCTCCCCCTAGTGGCAGCAGGTTTTATCACACCATTAACACCATTCCACCACTGTGAATGAAATGTGCTCTTTCAATAAAGTTTTGCTTGTTTGGTGTTACTTTGGTAAAGATGTTTGCACTTCCGAAGATTAACAGAGAGACTCCGCAGTCACCCACCTCGCGTCTCCTCCACTGCCAGTTTATCACAGATCTGCTTCTCGTAGTTGGACAGATGCTCGAGGGCCTCCTTGTGCAAACCTGCTTCTCTCAGCACCTGGTTCTGGTAGAGCAGCAGCTCGCTGTACTCGTAGTCCACTTTGTCCGGAGACGTCTGAACAGACCAGAAAAAGAACAGACCACTCTGAGTGTCAGTAACATTTTGTACCAGGCACACATGACTGAAAACCTCCAGGAGCCGCTGTGCTTTTCAGGAAACTGAATTATTCAGTGTGTGTGTGCACGGTCACACCAGCTCACTGTATTACACAGATGGCACAAAGACAGGAAGCAGGCTGGTCTTATCAGGAGCACGCCAGAGTGAAAGCGAGTGAGCTCTACTGCTGTTGTGACCAATGCAGAGACGACAGAAAAAACACCCACCGGCTGCAAAGCTACAAAGCGCTCACTGTAAATCAGCGAGTCAGACACCTACAGCGTCACGAATACGAGTAAGCCTGTTACTCATCAAAGCGTGGAGCAGTGCATGGTGCCTGTAGTACACAAAATAGTTCATAACCAAGCTTCTTTAGTGGCAGGGGTTCTCTCTTGCGCAAACTTTCCATGCAGCAGGAGCTATTGGTCCACACTGGTGTGCGTCTGCGTACCGCCCCTGCTGAGTAGAAACAAACACTGCAGGAATGTGGCCAACGCAGAAACTATGGCGACGACTCCGGTGCAGTGCTTTAAAAAGCCAACAGGGTATAGCCAAATCAGTGTGTGCTGATTGAATGACAGGAAGGTTCACCACAAAGGAGGAGAAAAAAAGTGCAAATGAGCAGCACAAACAGCAGCTGCAGTGAACAGCGTTAAAGTTCTTTGTCTTTGTGTTCTGTTTTCGCCGCAGCAGGTGGAAAGCTAAAGCATCAACAACGCCACAAGCAAATAAGATCAGCCCACACTCCGCCAACAACTTTCAGCACAATCACAGGTTTTTAGACCGAAGGATTGTAAGGACCAGTTGGCTGTAACAGCTACTTGTACCCCTACTTTTAAGAATAGGTAAGATGGTGTCTATCAGTGAAAATGCAACTTCTTTATTTTTTTTATTTTTTTTTAAAATTCCAGTCAAAGATATTTTTGGACAAAAAAAATTAAGAGAAAAACTACAAATTTTGCTTAAGGTAAGCTGTTAAGATTTATCTTGGCTTCTTGGCCAGAGCTTGTACTGAAATCTAACGCACCGACTCCAGCTGTGGCAGCTCTGAAACACTCTAAAATAGGTGCCTGGTCTGTGTCTGCAGTACTGGCCTCTGCACAGCTGCAGAGTCTCGACTAAATAGTCTGTGTTGGTATCATTTACACTGTATCCCACTGGCAGAAGGTGCTACTGATGTGAGCAAGTGGCCACTCTATTTAAAACTGCAACATCAGCGGCCTCCAGTGCATCCCCCTCAGCCTCCTAGCAGATGCACGTATGGTATGAATGTCAAAGTCCAAGGTGACTTCCTTCTCAAGTTCTTGCATTCACAATACTGTCAGAAAGTGTGACCTCTGACCTTGGCGCCGAGATCACTGAAATTCAAACTGAAATTCAGGCCAGCTGCACAACAGGGTGACAACAAAACTGACAACAACTGAAAGTCATCTCCTGGTTCGGGTAAGAGAAATGCGAAACTGTCGCTGTGTCTAACCTGTTGCGTTTTCCTGAATTCCTCAATGATCTTTGCTGCCATCTCATAGTCTTCCAGGAGGTGATAGGCGATGGCATAGCCAATCCAGGAGGCCCGCTGGGCTGGACGCAGCTGCAGCAGCTGGTACCGTGTCTCCTGGAGAAAGACAATGTGCCAGCATTGAGTTCATTTGATATCAGGTGGAAAAATTCTACGTTCCCTATAAGCCCACATTATCTCAAACCTGAGGCACTGCTGGGAAGATAAACAAAGAGAAAGTGATTGTGCTGACTCATGGTAGTGACACCAGGATGTTGCTAGCTGGCTCAGGGAGAACTAAAATTAACACCTAATACACTCCGAGTGGGAGCCCCTCCCTGTCCTCTCATCCATATTTTTTAATCCTTTCAGCCAGACTTTCCTCTTGCCATTTCATACCTCTCACTATAAAAGCATCTAAATCCCAGGAGAGCTGTTCTACATTGTGAAGACTGACTGCAACCTGATATCTGGATGCTGATTCGCCCAGTCCTCTCTAATTCAGAGCCATACTGCGTCCTGGACGAGGCAGGGCGACAGATGGAAGTGTGTGCTTCCCTTCAGGAAAGTTCTTTCCCCACTAACTGAGGACTGTTTTTGTTTTCCTTTATAAAAAGTTTACTGATTTTTTAAAACATGCCTCTGCCAACAGAATTTATCTCCTGTGGCCAAACTTTCCATCAAAACCTCCCAGCTTTTGATTAAGAACATGCAACATCTCTCAATTACTACTTAAAGAGACACAATCCCCCTCCGACTCACCCTGTAGCCCTCCAGGTCCCTCATCTGGATCTGCAGCAGGGACAGGTCTCGGAGGATCTGCAGGTTGTCCTTGTCCCACTTGAGAGCGTTGCGGTAACACTTGATGGCCTCATCGTACTTCTTGTCCGAGCGCTGGAGTAAACCGTACACATGCCAGCCTGGTACGCAAGGCCAGTTAAGGAAGATGCACAATTTGTATGATGCTATCAAATGAAGTACAGAAAAGGGGAGAGGGGTTCAATGCGCCTCTTCTCTTGTGGTTGAACTGAAGTGATGTGATCTTTTAAAAAGCTGCTTTCAGAGCGAAAGGATCTCAGAAGTGCTCACTTCTCAGGAACAAGGCACCTTCCTGCATTTTCTGTTATATGAACTCTGAAGCCTTGTAATAGCTAAACACTAGTTATGCATCATGTGGTCTTTCCTTTACTTGCAGCCCTGTGTCATCCTCTTCATTGTGTTGCTGCGTGGTGGGAGCCACTGTGATGCCACCATGTTTCATTTCGTATGATTCATTTAAAACCTTCACTGATGATTTCTGTGTCCTTGTTTTGTTCCATCAGAATATCCACATTTACAAGAATGTTGACACGATAGTGAAAGTAGACTTTGTACGAGTAATTACATGTATATCAGTTTAAAATCAACAGGGAGACTAAATGAGACGTGTTTGGTTGTGTTTATAGATGTTGCTCAAATGTAAAAATAAAAACTTTGTCCCAAGTTTGAAGCACCTTCGACATACAAGCACTTCTGGCTTAAACTGTGAAGTAATTGTTATTCTCACGCCATTTGTCATCAAACTTGCTTCTTACCCTTTCCGTAGTCCAACAGCCGCACTGCTGGGCCAACATGGACCTCGCATAAAATAAAGTGCATCTTATTAAACTGCTGTTATCTTTAACCAATTTTACCCACAAAAATGTAAGTGTGAGGATTTAATAAAACAGGCTGCACTGAATGATCTACATTGAGACAACAAAATTATATTTAAGCTACTTTAATACTTTTAGTTTAGAAAAACAACTGTAAAAGCTGTGTTTTTAATGGCTGCTTCTGGTGCTGTATTCATGTGTCCCAACAATCCATGAACATTAGGAGCTGGACCAGTAACTGTAACCTACACTCAAACGTCTCTGAATACTGGGACATTTCCTATCCTTCTGCAGGAGCTAAAAAAAGATCCTTAAATAGAGTTGTAACAATTATGGCTTCTACAGTTCCTCCTGCGCAAACAAAGGGGGGGAAAAAGAGGCTATTACCTCCAACAGTAGCTAACTATGAAGCTGTTCATGCCGTTCAAAAATCATCTCAACGCTGTGTTCAACATGAGTCGAACACAAAGTAAAAACTACTAGCACTAGCTGCTGTGCTGCCAAGTCCAAATCCTGTGTAAACAGTGTTTTGATGAAGTTTTTATCCGGCGCCACAGAAACTAAAGCAGGGAGAGGCAAATCTAAAAGGCTAGTAAGAGATAAATCCATAACACAGGATACTGTTTCTGAGGCTGTTCAGGCTTCATCTCCAATGTGGCTGAATGTGATTATTCTAAAAACTGATTAATGACAAAGCAATGATCTAAATGAACTACCAATCATAATTATGAGCTTATGCAACGCATAACTCCGTGATTTAAAATCCTGATGTGTTGCAAAGCCTCAGCTATTTTAAAAGAACACACTTTTTTTTTTGCATACGTGCACCAAAGCACGCCCTCTGAGGGACGGAAACATGCCCTGGATACTGACTCACTGTGGAAGCTAAAGAGATAGCAGTGTATCTGCAGAGAGCTGCTCTGTCTTGACTTTAGGCAGGGTTTAGGTTCAGATAGACCTCATCCACCAGCATCGTGCACAGACTTCACTCTCTGCAAGAGAATCACAGAGAGAATGTGCTGACAGTGCTCCACAGAGAGCAGAGCTCTTCTACACAATGTGAGGCACCTCAAGGTCCTTTTAGCATCTCACTCACACACACACACACACACACACTTACACTTCAACCATCCTGCAAAAAGACACTGCTAATAGTTCAAAGCGACAGCTGCTTAACCCAGAGGGTGCAGTGCTGTCTATAAGGATACAGACATGGCTCTTGAGGTCATTGCGCAGGCCTCTCCTCACCAGGTCGTATGCCTCCTCTTTCTTCCCCAAACAGTTCAGGGTCAAGCCCTTCATTGCCAGGGTCTCTGCAGCAAGAAAAGGATGCAGTAGATGGTGAAAAATACATTTAAGAGAAAAAGAAAAATTCTCCGTACAGCTACATTTTTGCTGCTTACCTCCATGCTCAGCAAACTTGGGGTTGGACAGGATTTGTTTGCAGAACTTGAGCCCATTTCTGTATTGTTTGTGTTCGTAACATCGCTGCGAGAGGAAGGACAGAGAAATCGCTTTAGGCCAAAGTGACTTTTAAACAGGTCAGTGGGTCAAGCCCGTGTTCTGGGTCTCTGCTCGTTCTGCTTTTGCATCTATTTACTACCAACTGCCTTCATCCAGGAAATGGATTTTTCAACATTGCTAAGACACGTTCAGTTTTATTAAAGTATAATAACACATTTTTTCCAAAGTCTGCAAGTAATCAGTGTCGCCCAAAATAATCGTGATTAAGATTCTTGGACCTAATCATATGCACGTTCCTTTTTCCCCTAAACAGAAACTTCTGGCGCCGTCCCCAAAGCAGTTTTAATCAACGCCAAAGAAAAATCATGACAATTTTGAGTAATTTAAAATGCAAATGTGCTTAATCACAGACAGCGATTGAACATGCAGCACATAAACATGAAGTATAGTGTCCAACTTCCAGCACTCAACTCTCCTCTTATCTACAGCTGCTATATTTTACACACACGCCGGCTCAGCTGCAGTGTTTTAGACTTTTATCGCCAGCAGTCCGAACGCTCGTCAGGAAACGCTGTCAGTTACAGCCCAGATTCTCCCGGTGGCTTTATCAGTAGTACATTACAGGCCTGCCGATACTCGTGACACGTGCCTTTGCGTTGTTCAAGCACCGGTGCAGGTCCGTATCACCCATTCCAGGTATCAGAGAAAACAAACAGTCCCCACAACAACAGGAAAACCAGTATGCCTTTCTAGTCCACAGCAAAACTTCTCTCCTGTTTTCTTTGCACGCATTTTAATTCAGCTAATTTAAAAAAAGAAAAAGAAAAAAAAAGCCGTTGTAAAGGCTATTACAACTAAAGTAAACCAGTCTTTACTTCAAAGTCACTGCTAGCCTGCTTCTCTTCGCTGATAAAGTCCACACAATAAAACTGTCTGAGTTTGACTATAAGCACAAGTTAAATGACCAATCGGAGAGAAAGTTTGAAGTCACATGAGGCTAAAGCTTCTATTTAGTGGGTATACCGATGGTCTTTTATTATTTAAAAAAAAAAAAGAAAAAAAAGCCAACCTTCTGGAAATAGAAAACAGGGGCCAAAAACATAGCTGCTGCAGCACTATTCAGTACAAAGATTATATCATAGCATGCAAACTTCAAAAGGACGGTTCACCAGTTGCCATACATTTAATAATTCCTTTCAGATAAGAAAAATCAACAAGGACTCTAAAAAAAATTTACTTTTTAATTCACAAATCCAACTGTACAGCTGTTTATCCTTACCCTGTAACACCTGTTTAATACTGACAGCGATGCTTTCAGTGCTTTATAATGTAGGAATTGACTTTAATCAGTTGAATAATAGTGATAAATAACACAAGCTCATCGCAGTCCAATTTGCATTTACTGCCATCTACTACATACTACCCGTCTGAGCCAGGAAAAGCCTGAAAAGATACAAACGTGTGGTCATGCTGCTCAGTGGAACTGCGCATTTAAACACCTTGAACAACAGATTTTTGGTCAGTCAACACTTAAAAGTTGTAATCATAAACTACCACAGCCCCCCTGTATTACTGCAGCGAAGCATATCAGACATCTACGATTTCCTTCCAAAAATATTAAAAACTAGCTACGCTGGTTCTACATTTCCAATAAGCAAGCAGATGCTCAGTCAGCAATAAACCCCCTCTGTTTTTAAGCTGGTGGTCAGAGGAGACTGTGTGTTTGTGAGGGAGGCAGGAAGAGTTAAGCTGGCAGATGGCATTGCGTTGTACCACCAGCAGCTCCACCAACAGTGAAAAAAACAAAACAAAACCCCAGAGATGACGTCAACATCACATATGGGTGCCAAGGTTGGTTACGAAATTAAGCAATCCACTGTTGAACTATGGGGACAGTTACACCACCAGCTGAGATGTGGAGCTGGAGGACAGAAAGAAAGAGGCTCAGGTCCTGCCTGCGGCTGGAGTGTAAGGCTCCATCTTCTTATTGTACTCTGGAACAAAAGAATAGCTGTTCATGGCTGTAAGACAGTCTTCAAGGTAATCCTGCATAAATATGAGTTCAGGTTTGTTTTCAGTAAGGTATACTGAGACCATGTAAATGAGCCCATATATGGCCGCGTGCTTGTTGTGGATCTGTATGCATTACTTACTCTTCGTGCTGGAAGTGGAAATTAAATAAACAACCTGATGTCTCGCTACTCTCTTCACCCGTGTGCAGATGTGCACATATGCAGCTCCACTTTTTTGTCTGTGCTGCCACACAAAGGACACTCAAACTGTGTTCAAGGTTACAGAATGTCATGCATCTGTCCTGATGCATGCTCAATCACTCAGGTAAGGAAATCCCAAAAGTTGATTCTGTTCATCTGGACGTAGCAGAGGGAGAAACGTTTCATTGCTCATCCAAGTGACTCTTCAGTCTCCGCTGACTGCAGGTTTCCTCAACCTAATAAACGGTACATTTGCATAATGAGTGAAACTAGGCCTCCTTGACTCCGCGCTCAAACCAATGTTCCTCCCTGTCCAGGATGTGCACATCCTCATCATTGAAAGAGTGTCCACTGGCCTGTAGGTGTAAATAGACTGCAGTCCTGGCCTGACGAGGTAGCTCTTCTGTGTTGTGCCATCGGCTTAGCCAGAGGTTGTTTGGTTTCGCTGATGTATAAATCACGGCAATCCTTCTGGCACTTAACAGCTTTTACTATATTACTCTTTTTGTGTTAAGGGACCCGATACTTTTGGTGGACCAATTTTGGTGCACCGCGTTTTTGGGTTTGAAAGCCACAGAGACTGTGTTTAGAGAAAATGCGTCTCAGCTGTTCCGATACTCCTGACACATTCAGAGGGTTTTCCTTTAGGCACCAGTTGTCCTTTTTCTCTCCTGGAGCTTTCTTTAGGTGCCTCCATGTAGTGCACCTCTGTGGCACCTCATAGCCCAGTGCTAAACACATTGTCAGTCCTTTGTTTAATAAATCCATTTAAAGAACATGCAGCAGGCCCAATTACTGAGCTCGCTGCCTGTGAGTAACTTTGTTCTTTAACAATCTGTTTATTCACTGCAATGATCAACGTGATGATTACCCAACATCACTCTCTTGATTTAAGATAAAGGCACAGGGGACTTTAAATGACCATGATATGAAATGCTCGTGCTTCCACTGGCACTCAAAGTTGAAATTCTGTTGACTTTCGTTGTCCGAGCACAGGATCCGAAATTCAGTTTGCCAATACATGACACAACCCTACTTAAAATGAACAGTAAGCGAGAGCACTGAAGCCTGAAACACACCCGTGTGGATCCTGCCTTCATTTGTTTTACTGCACTTTTATTTAAGGATCAACAGTGCACCATCCCTCATTATCAGGTCATGTAAAAGAGGCAGATCTGGTCTGCAGTCTGAGTTCTGAATGACCGCTTTCCTGCCACAACACACGTGTACAATGCAAAAACCTGAAGCCAAGCTTCATTTAATTCAATATTCTAACATATGTTGTGTTTTTACTGCAAGTCTAAATGAGATGCTAAATATTGTCTCGTCAATTACCAATAATCAGCAATGCTGGTGTAATTGTAGAACAACAAATCCAAATGACAGCGTCTTGTGCTCTACATTGTCATTTCATAAGAGCTAACTGTCCCTCTAGGAATATTTCCCAAAGTTTCCTCCAAGTGAAACTGGAGTGGAAGTTATGATTTCTCTTCCCTGGAAACCCAAAAGAGAAGGAAGAGGCATGTAACACAAGCCAGAGTGAAGAACACAATGTTTGGTATGTATTTAGAGAAATAATATCAAGAATGCATTAGGTCAATGCCAGACTCAAGTGGGTATTAATCAATGAGCAGTGCACACCGGTAAAAAGTAAAGTACACTGAGTCACTGTTAAACTGTGTCTGCTGGTTCTCTCAGTCCTTTCTATATAAAACTACATTTTAAATGATTCATTTTTAAATAATTATGATCCGTTGACACAGACAATAAGTAATCAGTCCTCTGAGATAATACTGTGTGTGCTTCATATAAATTTAGAAGCATTAAGACCATCAGCTGTGCTATCAAGAATACTCTCTGCCACCACCAGAGAAGTCAGTCTCAGCTCTAAGCTGCACAGATCGCTGCAAGAAGTCCCCAGTACCAATGCTAGATTTCGATTAGACATTTCAATGCATAGTTTGATTATTTCAGATCAAAATCATGGTGGAACGGAGGACGTGAAAATGAAAGCCCAACTCACAGGAGTTCATGTCAGTAGTGACTTCTCACTCAGTGCTGGGGTGTGAACTCACTTTATCATCACAGACAGAGCCCTCAGAAAAAACACCAATCATTAGTAATCCCGCTAAAACGTAATCTTTCCTTTAAACTCAAAATATTACCTATAATAAAGCCAAAGAGGCTTAGACAAAGTTTAAAGTTCAGCAGTTGGTTGAACTCCATGTTGCTCACAAACAACTTATTAATTTAGCCTGATGTAATTAGTGAATGATTAGAGGATGATATCAGCTGAACAGCTGAAACAACTTGCCTGGCTCTTTACTTTCTTCATGCTCTAATTGTTCAGTCTTTTTTTTTTTTTTTTTTTAAATACATGTGAAATGTCTCCCGGGTTTTTACTCAGCTCTTCACCACACACAGCCATGTCTTTCACAAATGCCAGGTGGAGATATACAAACGTCTCTGCTCCAATTTCAAATCAAATCAACAGACATAAACGCCCTCCTTCTGTTTTCGCTCGTTTAAAGATGATGGATGAAGCTGGTCACCACACACTTTTATTTCATATAGGGCAAAGATTTGAGGGAGATTTTACTATGAATTAGAGCGATATGACCAAAAATATTTATCACCATATACATTTGAAAATTTGCGATAACGATATAACTGACGATATAATTGACACTAGACAAAATACTTTACAACTCCACAACTTTATTAGTGCCAAATTAGTGTATTTTCACTTAAACAAGCAGCTGTTTTCTATGTGCATTAAAGCTATATAAAAATTTAACAGTGCAAATGCAAATTCGTTGCTGACAGTTTAACCAAAAGGCATTTCCAGTGGAAATTGGCCGACATATCCTCAGCATAACCATGTATAATAACCGCAAAACTTAAAGAGGTTATACACACACAATACGGTAATATTATGTTGAAGCACAGTACGTATCACTCCGCGAGGATCCTGCCTACGATAGCCGTAATGCTCCGACAATCCATCAAGCGGTGCGGGTTCCTAGCTTAGCAAAGTCGTACTAAAACATTTGACAAATTCTCGAGCGCCGTGTACATAAAATCGTTTCGAGGTCAGTAAACACAACCAGAATTCATACATAAGGCACTCGGGATTATAAGGGGCACTGTCGATTTTCAGAAAAATAAAAGGATTGATTTTAAGTGTGCCGTATTTTCCAAAAAAAAACATGGTAATAACGACGGCCCGCTAGCATGCGCTACCAAAAATAGTGCTTTGTTGCGTTTCTGACGGACAAAAGTTAAACCAGTTCCACACCACTGAAGCTGCAGCATTTTTACAAACCAATTCTGGTTCATCCGTTTCATTTAACGATCGCTTTCGCCCTTCTCATTCTCCGCCACCGCCATGCTTTTTCCGCCATGTGCGTATGAAAACAAAGGCACTGCGCATGCGCGCTTTACCCATATTCTATCGCGATATTTCATTTTCTTATCGTTGCCCAACATTATACCGGTATTACCGTGAACGGTATGATATGGCCCAGCCCTACTATGAATCTTACAGACCAATATAAACGTAATGAATTAATGGGGCATTAATCTAAATATATACTTGATTTGTGACCTACATATCATGTAATTGGAGGACAGAGCAAGAAGAGCTGTAAGAGCATCTCCCCTTAGTTTGACAACCCTAGAAACCCTTTTATCCACATGTCTCGTGGCTGAATGCATCACAGAACAACACACACAGCAGTTTATAGACCTGAAAAGTGCAGATAAGTTATAACAGCATAGATAGTACAACAAATACATGTGCTTGCCGCTGCTTTTTTTCTCCTTCCTGTGATGCACTTGTTAGATGGATTGCACTGCCCTGCAAATTCAAAAGCATTAACAGGACAGCTGATGAAAACCACCATTACATTAAGATTACTGGTACAGGGCCCACTGTTAGGTGAGGCAGGAGGAGAGCAGCGTGTTTGTGAATCCTGAAACCACAAAATGGAAACGTATCCACCTCAACTGTCAATCAAAAGCAGACGACTGCCAACTTCCAATAATGCACTTGGGAATTCACTCTGGGAAAGCAATAATAAAGAGAGGTGTGGTCTGCTCCTGGCTATAGCCAGAGGGGGACAAAGCTTGCATCACATCTCTGCGGCAGGAAGAGTAATAATAGTAATTTCATTTTCTACAACTCCACCAAATGATTTCAAAGTCCTTGTTAACTCTGAAGACGACGTAAAGTTCACCTGGTTCTATTACAGAGTTTTTGTTAAAATGACGTTCGCAGTATGTGAAATGTTTACAGAGATTGTACAAAATTAAAGACCACTCAAACTGAAAAGCAATTCAGGACTGCACAAAGTATAACAAGAATGTTTCTACTTGTTATGTGATGACGTAACTGCTGTTGCTAAATCAAGCTTCTACTGTGCTGGATGAGGCTCTTACTGTCTCGCTATCTCTCTTTTAAAATCAGGCTGAGCTCCTCGTTTTAGGCCTCTTCTGCCTTTTATTAGCATCATTTAAAAAGCAAACATTTGAACATTTCAGAATAGAATCAATGTTGGACCAACTAAGACTTCCGTTGGGGAGCAGGACTTTTTCATAGCAAGTTATCCAGATCACACAATATCAATGACTGAACCTCGTCTGGCGGATGGGATCATCTCACCAAACTTCAGTCTCTTGGCTGAAGTTTGGTCAGTTTCAGTCTTAAATTAAATCCAAGTGTTATAGCGGAGCTATGCATTCTTTTCTTCTGCAAATAATTAAGTCAGAACATTGTATTTAACCTAAACACAATCCTCTTTTTATGGAGGTCAGAGTGTTAAAGACGCACTGATATTTTTATTGGAGAAGAAAGAAACCGGATTGTCTGTAACTCTCTGCAGTGCCTGAGTGTTTGTTTTCTTTTGGGTAATGAAGGTGAATTTGGACCTGGCTCATGACATCAAAGTTAACAAGCAAACACTGAGTCTGTTGGTGGAAGATTTTCTGTTAACTATTTCCTACCTTAAGAAAGATCCAAGTATTTATACTACTAGTTACCTAAATTAAGAGTTTTTGCACAACTTCTACATTTTTTTTAAAATATGGAAAGTATGTAATGTCAACCGATTATCACCAGTTCCATGAAAGGCTAAACTCCCACTGAGGAACGCAACACGTACAGCCACTAACGTCTCAAGTTCAGGTGCAAGTCCCACAGGTTTGTTTTCTGTACCAGAGCTATAGGGACTGCCAATACTCAGATAAAGAGCCGCTAAGTCCCAGCTGAGCCCCTGCCTTTTAAAACAATGATGTTTATCAGATCCAGTTTGTGACGCTGAAGTGCTCACTGCCCACAAGTCCCCACAGTTCCTGGAAAGTGCGTTGCTAGATGCCCATGCAGCACTGTTTAGTGGTACACACCGCCAAGCACCAGGCATGGTGGGGGGGGGGGGGACTAGTTTGGCATGCAGCGCACAGAAAGTTAACCGCACTTCCTGAAAAATACTGTGACAAGCCTTAACTCACACTTGTTCAGCTACACGTGTGGCCCACGTAAAACTGCCCGCAGATAGGACATGAACAACCCAGCAACACGGGAGAAAGGGAGGGATGGATCAGTAGCTCAGCAGGCCTGGGGCGGCTACAGATTTGCTGACACGGCCACACCGGTACTCCCCGGACTTCCAGTGGCTTTCACACATCATACACATCTACGTCGGCCTATGCGAGCCTCTAAGGTTCATCATGACGGAGCCTGCAGGCCCCCACAACTCAGAGAGTGCTACTGACATTTGTTTAGTGCCTCACATACCAAGATATCTAGCTCGGTAGAGTTAGCCGATTAAGTAACGCCAGGTGGCCTGCAAGCACGTTACTTTGTCAGATGGCACACATCTGACCAACTAAACACAATCCGGCTAAGAAGACAGCAGCTATGCACGCAGCCAGGAACTAAAATGCCACAACATTCACAAAACTGAGTGAGAAGCTAAGTAAGTGCAAGCTAATTCAGCAGCACACACGGCTAACGGGCTAGCTGCCGCTGAAAGGAGCATTAACGTGCTTTTCCCAGTGCTAAGGCCTGTCGCAAATGAACCACAAATACCGACAATTTAATCCAAAATCCAAATGTTTGTAGTGCAATTTAACCACACTGGAAGCATATATCGGAATAACATCAAAGTCATGAACAACCATTTTGGCTTTGTACCGCAGTGACAGCGCACATCAGGGGCCGGGCTAGCCGAGCTAACCCCATTCAATGATGCCATTTTGCTAACAGGCTAAGCGCTACCAGCCGGAGAGCTCCGGTAAGAGCCGGACTGCCGCCAACAGAGCTCCAAACTCGGCTGCCGTCGCTGTGCAGCACCTTAAAAACCAACTCACCAGGATCCTCTTGAAGAGAGCGTTCTCTTTCGGCGGTAAAGTAACTGTCGGCATGGTTGCAGGTGAGATCAGTTTCCCCCCTCGACCTCAGCACATGTAGCTAAAGTTAGCCCGGGTAGTCAAGACGAGTTGAGTGATGTTTTTTTAGCCCTGGCTCGCCCGCTTCGGCCGCTCCGCTCGATTGCTCCGTTTTCTCTTTTCACTCACTTCCTCCTCACATTGACGGAAGCTCCGACAGCTTCCAAAATGGCGGGGAAAGAGAGTTCAGGTGGACTGATCATGACATATTTGAGATAAATAAAATGAAAAGTGTCGTTTAAGTATCCTTTAATGCATAAGCCAGATAATAGTACTTGGGCCATTCTACAGCTTCACGTAAAGAACATAGAGAAAAATCCAAATACCGCTGAGCACCTTATTATAAAGAAGAATTAAGAAAGATAAAGGACAAGGGAATAAAATAATAAGATAGGACAAATATTTAAATCTATAAACAGAGCTGCTTGTGAGATGTAGTGCAATGGCCAACAGAGATGGGCAGTAAAGCGTTACTGTAATCTGATTACTTTTTTTCAGGTAATGAGTAAAGTAAGGGATTACTATTGCAAAAACGGTAATTAGATTACCGTTACTTTCCCGTAGGAACGCTGGGTTACTAAAACCGTGATTTTTATTTTTATTTTGCAAGAATGTCTCATGACAGTGAAGTAAGCCAGTGCAATGTTTGTGACAACAGCTGTGTGCTGTGTCAACAATGGATAATATATTAAGTGCGGGAGAGAGTATGAGCATGCTGTGTTTCTGCTGTGTTTCACTTGCATCTATTTGAAAGAGTGAGTGTAAACACAAAAAAATATTTTCTTTTATGTGCTGGAATGTGCAGAAAATAGGTTTAAATGTTAAACAAATTTCTTCCAGTCAGAGAATGTTACATATAATTAAATTTTTGCTTGATGCATAAAGTTAAAAGATTCAAACTAATAAAACACGTTTTAAAAAGAGACTTTTCCATTTGATTACATTTTGTATGATGGATTATGCAGAAAAAGTAGAACTGGGCTGACAGATCTATCGCTTTATCACCTATTCAGTTTGTAAATCGTGTGTTTAAAAAGTAACTAAGTAACTAAGTAATTAATTACTTTTGAAAATAAGTAATCAGTAAAGCAATGGGATTACTTTTGGGGGAAGTAATCAGTAATTAGTTACTGATTACTTTTTTCAAGTAACTTGACCAACACTGATGGCCAACAGGTTTGACAGTAGTTCAAATGGTTGCAGTATTCGAATATAACATTTATAAATCCAATTTTTTTGTTTTGATTTTGTTGGCATGTCTCTGATAGCTATTAAACTGTTGTTCAACATCAACATATTTTAAAGAACGGAAATTATACTGCAAGTTGTGTCCCACACCACATGTGCAACCCTGTTACCAAAACATATTTAGTCTGGAAAAGGAAGAGTAGCGTGACAGCTACACCAAAAGTCAGCGCTCTTTTATATATTTTGTAGTTTTCCATTCTTGCCCAATTAGATTGAAGGTGTCACTCTAAAGAGCAACCCTGTATCCCATGTTACAGAAAGAAGACAAATTAATTAAAGTTTCCTTCTTTTGTTTCTGTAACTACATTTATCCTTGACTTTCACAGTCATTTAAAATATGTGCTAAAATTACCCCCAAAAAGCCCCCAAAGCACTTTCTAGTACAAGTTTTCATTCACCCATTCACACACAGATTCATGCAGGGCTTTTATCTAGACCTCAGCACACATATCACAGGTACCTTGGGGTTCAGAATATTGCCCGAGGAGACTTTGATACAGAAAGAAGAGTCAGGGATTGATCCAGTGACTTTACAATATATAGATGATCTTCTCCACCACCCGAGCTGCAGCCACCCATAACTGAGATATGTAACGAAAATGTAAATATTTTCCAAATGTTTTGGCAACTTACAAGACAAAAAGTACAGTATTCAACAGAGCTGGGAAATTGGACTAGTATGTTAGCTCTTGGCAAGCCCAAGTCCTTGACTGGTGTTTGTTGTTGTTTTTAGATCAATAAAAACTTTTTTGTGATTTTGAGTTCTGATTTTTGTCTCTTTGAGGATTTGACTCAACCTGTAGAAGGCAGTTGCTGAATGGTACACAAAGTGTTGCTTCCTTCCTGTTTTTGCTTTGGCAGTTTAAAATTTTTGTCACGTATGTTGGTTGGTGTGTTGCATAGTTAATGCTTTAGATCAGGGGTGTCCAACTCCAGGCCTCAAGGGCTGGTGTCCTGCAGGTTTTAGATGTGTCCTTGATCCAACACAGCTGACCTTGAGGCTTGGAGTTGGACACCCCTGGTTTAGAGCAAAGGCAAAAGCACTTGTGACCTACAAAGCTCTTCCAGAGTTAAATGAATCACATATTGCTATCTGTTCTCTGTCACCGCCACACCTTGTGCATGTTTACCCCACTCTTTTCATCATTTATAGGCTGCAAAGCCCTCACCTGGCTTATGTTGTTGTCTGGGTAGGCAACTCCAGGCCTCAACTGCCGGTGTCCTGCATGTTTTAGATAACACCCTGGGTCAACACACCTGAATCAGATGATTAGTTCATTACCAGGCTCTGGAGAAATTCAAGACATGTTGAGGAGGTAATTTAGCTATTTGAATCAGCTGTGTTGGCTCAAGTACACATCTAAAACCTGCAGGACACCAGCACTCGAGGCCTGGAGTTGGGGACCCCTGATATGAAGGAACATAAGTGTGTTGGCACATTGGGATATGTGCACTTATTAATGCACGTTTTATCCAAACAAGTTGCAACTGTCTGTTTTTAAAAAGTGCAATACAAATAAACGCATCCATATTTTTTTAGGTCTGAAGTTGTTTTTAATAAAATAAATTTAATAAAATAAATTTAATAAAATAAATTTAGTTCAGACACAGTAAAGAAGGACAATTATTTACATAAACGCAAAGACAACAGAAATATCCAGTCATCATTGAGTACAGCACCAAACCACATTTTTTTCTTATGTTACCGGAAGTAAGGAGATTCAGTAAAAGCCACCAAAACAGTGTTTGTTTGTTTGTTTGTTTGTTTGTTTGAAGAAGAAGAAAACGGTTAAGCAACACGTAAATACATGTTTGTGCGTAAAATTTCTCAGCACAGCATGAAAGGCAGCAACATTCCAGCGATAAGCTTCAGATAAAATCTGATGTGACATAAATGTCCTGTGCAAAAGGTTGGCAAAGTGGACAAACGTACAAGGGAGCCACTTCCCATTTCAGCCACTAGAGGACACCAAATGAACATAAAAGAGGCGAAGCCTATCATTGCCCTATCATCGCTCACCGCCACGTAATTTGTTGCCTATTTGCCAACAAGCAGACTACTTCTGCGCTACTTTAAAGCTGAGCGAGTGGACACTTCACTAAGCATGTGATTAAGTACACGTATATATTTATACATCCTGAACATGCTGGGGCGGCGTAGAGAACACTTTTGCACAGTGCGACGTTTTTCATTTAAATAACTCAATGAAACAGTGATAAAGTCATCTGAAGGTAATTAGAAATCTGTGTGTGTTTGCGTGTGCGACAGAGGGGTGCTTTATTCACGGTGTGAGACAGCTTGGGCCTTGCTCTGCTGTTATCTGGTGGCCTCCTACTCCTCCACCGCCACAATGTCTTCTGCTACCACATTTATCAACTTGACACGCACACTTTTCTCTCTCTCGCTCTGCACCATCCCTTCCCCTGTTCCCTTCTTCCCCTCCATATGTCTTTCCACTCCACACTTCTCCGGCTACATTTCTTCATCTTATTACTCTCAGAGAGGGGAGAGAGTGAATGATTCTTCTAACTCATCTCCCACTCTTTGTGACACTTCATTTGTCGTTGTGATTAGAGCCCATAACAGTGCCTCTGGAGTGTGCACAAGGCTGACGGTGTGTGTCTGGAAGCGTTTGGCTACAGGAGGAAACGCGCTGTAATTAACTCGCTGTCTGCGCCGCTGACGATTTTTGAGGACCGATGAAGACATTTGTGAGAGTTCATGAGGCCTTTTACCACCTCCCCTGCGCAATAATGAAATTGCACTTTGTTAATCTAACCAAGAAAGAGATTAGGTGCTTTTTACCTACATCTTTAGAAATCTAACATAAAAAGAAGTGCAGACATTTATACTCCCTGGGCAAAAGACCTGCAACTGACAAATAAAGGCTATCTCATCTCTCATCATCTCATAAAGAATTTTCATTTTTTAATCCTTGGATTTCTCCACTATACTAAAGGTATACAGGCCCAAACTAACTTAGACACAGTAAGCAAAAGACCATGCACCGAAAACTGAAGTATTTCCACCCTTTGCAGTACACACCTAAATGCTGTAATCAGCATTTTCATTACTCAAATTGGAACAAGAAAAACAAACGGCAAAAAGCAACCTCCAAAGTAAAGAGGGCAGAAACAAGAAGACTTCACACTGAACATGACAGCAGAGGCAGGAAACAGACACTAACAGATAGCTGAGGCAGGGGGAAGGAACACTGAATAACCTTCAAATGCAAGAAGAAATAACGTGACTCTAACTTTGTGATGAATAACCTCCTCCAAACACCCAAAACACTTTGTAACTTAATCTTACTTTTGTTGTTGTTGTAATTTTGCCTCTGTACACAACCACAGAGCATTTTAAATCAAACAAGCTACCAAACAAGCTACCAAATGCAAGTTAGACACTTGGAATTAACTCTAGATCTTTAATCTGCTTGATTTGTCATAGAATAACAAGGGAGCAGGTCTCAACTGGCCATCAAAGTGTTTATCACTCACTTATCTACTTATGTCTCCATGTCTGCTGTGGAACCTCTGAAAATGAGGGACTACATATAAAGAGGGCTGTAATTCCTAAACAGTTAACACAATACTTTATTCAAAGCCCTTGAATTAAAGCTGAAAGTATGCACTTCAATCACAGCTTGATTGTTTGTTTTAAAATCTACTGCGGTGATGTGCAGAGACAAAGTCACAAAAACTGTGTCCCTGTCCAAATATTTACGAGACAATTGCTCAAACATGGCGGTAAGTTTTGAGCTGTATTTGGGGTGCGGTTAGTGATGTGACGTTCTGTATCGAGGCTTCGAAGCGTGTGTCGAGTAATGGAGGGGGCGTTTCTGCGATGCGCGTATCGAGGCTTGCTTCATTTATGGGAGGAGCTGAAAATGAGGACGTCCGAAGCCTCGCTGCCCGGCTGTACCAC